CTTTACCCCCCCCTTCGTCCCCCCTTACCCCTCTTACACCTCTCTCCCCTCACCCCCCCCAGCACCCAGGGCAGCCTCAGCAGGGGCCGCAGGTGACGGGGGCTGGAGCGACAGGTACAGGGGGCAGCTCCAAATCCAAACCTATCAACCGGATAAGTACCGTGGTATGAGCAAGATGTGGGGCCACAGGGGTCAGAGGTCAGATTATAGAGTGGAGGAGGTTGGCAGAGCTAGGTCTAGGACCAAGTCTGCCAGGACAGAAAGTAACAGCAGCAGCGCTAGTGACAAGAGGAAGCGCAGTTTGCTTCGTCTCTGTTACTTTCACCTCCGTTTCCCACACATGTAGGTGGAGATAAAAAAGCACAGCTAGAGTTAAATAGCGTGTGCACACATCTTTGAAACCTGAACACACAAACACACACACATGCACATCCATCCATATGAACTCACTCCACACACAATATCAAAAAAGTCTATAGCCATATAATTTAAGATGAAGCTAAATCTATATCTAGGTATATTGCCTCAGTTTTAATTGTTTGAAGTCTAGTTGAGTCTATATGAGACTATTTACATGTACAGTACCAAGATGTGATAACGTGACACTGGAAATACGGAGACCATATATATATACAGCTGCTTACATGGGGATGTAAATAAGGACTAAACCACGAAATGCATTCCGGCGGAGTTTGACATTAAAAACAGCAGAGAGTTGCAAAAAATGTCCCTTGACTTTGCAATAATTTACTTGGCTTCACGATGTCCCTGTCCATTCTTGCAGGTTCTGCTATGCTTTTTTTTTTTTTTAAAGAAGACCTCAGATATGTTGCTTTGTCTTAAACTTAAACACGCCAGTGCACAGTTTCCTGACACTCTTTTGCTTAATGGTCTTTTACATGTCAACAGGAGCCACCTGGCTTTATAATGCATTCCTTGTGGGGTATGGAAATTAATGATACAATCAATAATATATTTTGAATGTTTCTGAAGCTTCTTGCTGTTTTATCGATATTATAATACACCTGCTATGAGTATGATGAATATTGTCCAATTAATTGTTTTGATTAGTGATTAATTATATCAGCAGATGTTTGTACATGGTTATAGAGAGTATATGCACATATAAATTCCCTCAGTTTGCCATAGCCACTAGAGGGTGTTATGATATGTGAAGTGTGATTTATTTCCATTGTACCATGGTTTCCATTGAGTTCATCTTTTTAATAATTAGTATTATTGATTGTTGAAAATAATGAATGGGGTTTAGTTTTGTTCATATTGATTTGAACATCAACAATATTCCTCCTTTTTTTGTTTTGCTTGATGTGAGCAAACAGGCACAATTTCACAAATGGGGAGACTAACAAAACTTGAATTTACTGAATGGATCTGAGTTAATGTTTTAATTTTTTTTTATATATTTATGAAGCTCCCAGTATTGGTAAAAGGCTCAAACACGGTTGTGGAAATTGGAAAAAGACCTGGATTTTGGAAGATGCCTATCCCTCATAATTGTACAGGGCACCTATGCTCACTTCCTCGCAGTCATCTGATTTAGTCATTGTGTGTTTTTCTATGTTTTGAAGAAGCACGCTTTTACATGAGGTTTTGTGGTTTTGCACACGTGATGTCTTAAGTCAGAAATGGCCTTCTTCTAATCCTCCCTCTTCTGCCACTTTTAGAAATCTCTTATTACATTTTCTGATGCCATGGCATCCTGCCGAGGGCTTCTTGTTTAAAAGCGCAACAAGAGTCAAGAATGTAAAATAGCCTACAGGTATTACTGTATTTCCACCCCTTTTTTTCTGTGGGCTTCGTGTAAATGTTGCCCCTTTTGCTACTGCATTTTTTGAGGTTGTAACTGAGCACTGATCTGGTTTACCTTCAGTGCCATTGATTACCAAGGGAAAACTATATATTCTGGGAGAGAATGGATGGGTGAGGACAAAGTAAAAAAAGTCTGTGGAACAAGCTACTGAAAGAGATGACGAAGTTTAAAGAAGATCTGAATCCTTGAGAAAAGGATTTTAAGGAGGTTTGGAGAGAGTCAAGAATGTCAGATAAAGATTTTATAAGTATGTGTTGGCTAGCCTTTTCTTTTTATGGTGTCCTTTTTAACCCTTCTTGCATGAATATATCTGCACTTATTGAATAGATTGTACTGTATAAACCTGAATGTACATATTATACTATACATAGGCTTCTTATCATAATTATGGGACAAACTACTCCCATTCTGTATTCAGGTGCGTGCATGTGAGTGCCATTAATTATGTACATATAAAAGAGGGACAGGAGATGTTGGCCAAAAGGAATGTTGACTTCTTTTTCTTTTCTTATTATTTCAGACAGAAGGTGAGAGAATGAGTTGCCGTGATATAATTGAAGCCTAAAAAAAGTTTATATGTCAGTGCACTTATTGATATCATTTTAAACAAATGATTTCAAATTTTTCTTTGTGTATGTATTATGTGTACTGAAAGAATAGAGAATTGAGATGTGAATATTTATTGCTTCTGATAAATTAAAGTGTCCTTGCAGTGAACTGGTCTTGTGTGTACTTTTTATATCACTTCAGGTCTGCTTCCACCATCGCATTGCTCTAAATAATTAACTGTTTATAAGATTATAACAAATAATTAACGTTAACAGATAAAGAGCAATGTGAAGGATCGAGGAAATGTATTTATCATAATCCAAGACAAGGTTGTGAGACGAAATTAAAGTTTGCAGTCTCTTCATGCTACACACATAGAAAAAGATAATTAAAAGATATTTACATTCATGCAAGTGTAGCATAATACATAAAAACAGAGAGAGACCCCAAGTCTATAAGGGGCTTCATTGTGACAACATTAAACTGCCAATAGATATAGGGTAATTTCACAGTATTCCCTTTTACTTGCATATTGCATATAGTGTATATATTTTTAATTTATAAACTATATTTTCTATTATATTATCTTATTGTACTCGTACACTTCTGTACTATTTGCACTACATTCCCCTATGCTGCTGTGTCTAATTTGAAATTCTCCTACGGGGGATCAATAAAGGTACATATTATCTTATCTTATCTTATCTTAGAAAATTTTGAATTTTGGAAAACTTGGAATTTCCCCAGTGTGGGACAAATAAAGGAATATCTAAGTCTAAAAGAAAGGGGGATGGTTTGAAAAAATCAAAATGGTTTCTCACCATACTGTCATCAGTACTAATTATCAGATTTGGAGATATAACAAAATTATATAACATTGTGAATCAGCTATACTGTGCTAATAAATTCAATACTCGATCAATTAAAATATATATGCCTAAGTGTAATTTAAAGGCAAGCTGAATGCCCATTGTATGCACCTTTATAGAGAAAAATATTGTGCTTTTTATTTCACTTTCTAGTTGCATATAAACCGTGGAAACTATCTATATAAATATATGCAACCTATAAATTATGCAATATGGTAATAACCACACAGTAAGCCTTTATTAAGAAGGTAAAATTCACTCCTTCGTGGACGAGTCCTGGTTACACAATAACAATAAATTCAGAACAAAATAAATAACAGAACACAACGATAACGACCACACACGTGAATATCCCCCCAGCTGCAAGTGCAGGACTGTTTATTGGCGTACGTGCGTACTACTTTCAGGGAGTAAACGTGAGGGACGTGGTGTGAAGATGAAGAGGGTTGTGCTTCGGTCGTGAGAAAAAAAACTAAGATGGCGTCTCGTCAAGAAAGATAGGATGGCCTGAATAGAGTGATGATGTTGGTCGGGGAAAATGATTTATAACGACATAATTGATAAAGTTTGAGAGCCTCGTTTGGTGTTAAAACGAGCCTCTGCTACCAATGTGTTTAACCGGTGTGTTTTAACAGGACCGAGTTAAATGGAGAACTGAGCCTTTAAACAAAACAAACAAAAAAAAAAAATCGCTCAACTTTGCTAACAGCGACAGCAAAACTGGACCGAGCACAGCTGGAGCAACGTTAGCTGAGCACCAGGTCATCACAACAACAGAGGAGGAAGAGCGGCCACCACAGCCCTTTACACCCCGGGGACATCGAGGTGTCTTCGGTCAGTCACCGGGAATACAGCGAGGCACTGTGGAGTTTAAAATAAAGGGGATAAACAATATAACATGCATGGGGCATTTCTTCTTGCTCGCACAGGAGCAGCGTCAACTAGGCTGGTTGCTAGCGTCAATTATTTTGGGGGTTTTGGGGTTTAGCTTTTTTGTTTTTACGGTTGTGTATTGGTTTTTTTTGTTGTTTTTTTATCCACGCAGCCACCTCGTTTTTTTAAACTAACTCATGCTGGCTGCCTTTAAAACCCGTGGGAGGCGATGGGGGAACTGGAAATAGTGGAGGCCTCCGTGCTAATGTTAGCTGCAAGCGGCGTTATCTCGCCTCTTCATAGCTGAACAATAGACACAAATAGACTTCATGGTTGTCCGAAGCAGAGAAATGAATGACACCTAGTTAGCTGACCGATTATACACAAGTTAATTGGAGGGATTTGTTCTTGTTTTTCTCTTGTTATTGGCTGTGGCTGAAAGGTAAGCTTAGTTTTTTTTTTAATCTAAACACCAGTTCTCTCAAGTTTAGTAGCCAGTTAGCTGCTAAGATGTGAGGCAACCTCGACATTTAGTAAAGTGCGGCGATGTTCTGCCATCGAGTAATTGTGTCATTTGTTGTCATGTGTCTGGGCCAAACGCTGGTTAATTAATCTGGGAGTAGTGCTGCCTTCATGGCCTTCTATACCTTAGGGTTCATGGCCTCCACGCCATTGTTTGTCTTTAGGCCCATGGAGAATCACATATATGGGTCACACAAGTCCCAGCATCAAGTTGTGTTGGTTTCTAATGAGTTTTACAAGGAATTCCCCAGGGCAAAACTAATGTTAGACTCCTCTGTTAAGACTCTTATATGTGTATATACACACAAATTACACGAAGCAGCGTTTGTGGCTCAAGTGTACAGAAGTGTTTTGCCATCACTCCTGAACTTAAATCATCTGATTTGATGTTCTGGGCAGATAAATCATCACTTGTAAACTTTTGCCTCTTTCCACTCTGGGCCTTGTTAATTCACCAGAGCATGGCATTTGTTTTGTTGTGTCTGATGATGGGGGAGGGGGTTTTGAAGAGGACCACTTTAAGGAGGGGGAGAAAAAGAAAT